GAGTGTGTGAGAGAAAGGAATAAAAGGTGGTGGAGGAGTGGATGGTGTGAGAGGGTTAGTTGCTGGTTATATAGAAGGTGTGACTGGTGTAGTTAAAAGTTTGGTTAACCATGGTTAAACGGAATAAAAAAAAATGAAAATAAAGGGAAAGAAAATTGAAAAGTTAAAACGGTTTTGAAAAAGACAAAAGTGTAGGTCCTCTTTTTGGTTAATTGAAATCCAAGATTTAAATCCTAAATTTACACCACATTTAATTAAGATTAAGATTAAGACAAAATATATATATATATATATATTTACCTATTATTGTAGAACTGTAGGTGAAAGGTTTTATTTACAGTGGTGAGAGAATCAATTTGGACTTTGAAAACAGAGTCACAGCTGCGTTCGTATAATCACCCTACTCAAATCATTATAATTTTGATTTTCAATGTTTGTTTTGTTTTTCATTCGTCCTTTGCTCGGTGATTTTTTTGATAACGGTTCAGGTTAACCAAGAATTCTTCGCGTTTCATCCGTAAAGAATGAGTTAATTACTTATATATTGTTGGTATAATTTTTTTTATATTAATAATTAATTATATTTTTTAATAATATTATATTAATTATTTATTTAATAAAATAAAAATAAAATAAAATAATTTAAAAAATATGATTAACTATTAATATAAAAAAACTTTATATTAATAATGTATAAATAATTAACTCATAAAATATTATATGAATAAATATAGATAATTTTATTTTATAAATTTAAAAACAAATAAATGTTTTTAATAATAGCAATAACAAAGATATGATTTAAGATTTTATACACATTATGAAAACACTTTCATAAATATAATAAATTAGAGTAAATAAGTTTAATTAATAATTCCCTTCAAAAAAAAGTTTAATTAATAATTATATACAACTTATATTTTTATTTGATTAATTACATTATAAATAATTAAAATATTTAATTATAATTAAATTTATAAAATTAATTAATAGTATTATGAAATTATAAATATTTTTAATAATAATTATTTTTTTCACAAGTAAATTATATTAATCATATTAATAATTGTATTTTTATAAAAAAAATTAACTTTATTTATATGTGTAATTAATTATGTTTGAGTAGATGCTGAATGGTCATATACCAATCCAAACGTTAAACTTTTTCTTCTTTTGTATTCCTTTGAGTGAGAATCGCTAATACCACATTTTTTTAATAATTTTTTTAATTAATTGAAGTTATTAAATTTTTTTTATAAATCTTAATCTTATTTAATAATTTTTTTCTTTTAATTTTATAATTTTTTATAAGTTTTAGTCAATAAAATAAGGAAATTTAAAAAGAATGTGTTGTTAGCATTTTTCTTTTTTGAACATTTATTATTGAGAGGAATACTAGTAATATAAGTTTTTATACTTTTCATTGTGACTAATTTTTTTAAAAAATTATGAACTTTAATGAATTTCATGTTTTATTTGAAGAAATTGCTAGATAGTACAAATTAGTGCGATATCAACCTCTATTATAAATAAGAATGACTATTTTATGCAAGAGTATTTTTAAGAGTTTTTTTTCTTTGCTTCAAAAAAAAAGAGTTTTTTTTCTAACAAAAGAATTTTTAAATTTTGTATCTAATTCAATTCTATTTATCATAATTATTTATCAATTAAATTTTAATATTTTAAAATAAATTATTGATAAATAAAAACAATCCTATACTCCAATATAAATTATTTATTATAAATATAATTATATATTTAAAATATCCACTTATATTATTTATATATTAAATATATTATTTATTAATAATTTTAATTATATATAATAAATGTTTAATTACATTGCACATGCTAAAATCATAATAAGTATTAAAACATTCTTTTCATGTGATTTTCGTTAGCAATGTAACTTTTTTAATGTTTAATTTACACTTAAGTTAATTATATTAAAAAAAAAAATTTAATGTTCTTACTAAAAAGTAAAAAACTATCATCATTTAATATTATATATTATTTAATGAATCAGTTTCTTGATTTAACATGTAATTAACTTAAATTTGTAATTTTTAATAAATTCTAATGAATAATAAAGATTGTTTGATAAATAAATATTAAAAAGAGTGTTATTAAATATTTTTTTTATTAGAAAGATACTTTTAAATATGTTATATGATATTCTTAATTAATTAAGTATTATTCTAATTATTTTAAATTATTTTTCATATAATATCTACTTATTGAACTTATATAGTTGTTATGTTATTTTGCAAGATTATAACATTATTTTTGTGAACCAAAATAAATGAAAAAGTGTTATTTATTAATATTATATTTTGATGTGTATATATTATTTTATACTGTTTTGGTGATACCAAGAAAATCAAAACTGTGAAGACATGTGTAGACGAGCTAAGATTGTATTGCGACAACAGTATCATGCGTGCCGTTTCATTTACTTGTGACGATGCACGGATAATGGTCCAAATTTTAAGAATTGTGATATTTCTTTTAAAGTGAGAATTATGATATTTATTTAAGGTCTCCATTTTTATCATCATGTAATTTTGATTTTTTTATTTTAAAATAAAAATATTTAATTTTTTATTTTTAAAATATAAAATTTTAGTTTTATTATTAATTTAATATTTATTAATTATTAAATTGAGATTATTCACTAAAAAATTATTACTTAAATAATATTTAGTGATATGACATATAAATAAAAATTTAAAAATAACATAAAAATAGTTACACACGTATAATAACATAATATATAACATATATGTGATTTAACAATAATTACTTCATCTATAATATTATAATAATAAAAATAATAATTATTTATTCAAATTCTATCACATCACATCTTTTTATATATCAATGTCATAATTTAAACATAATTGGTATGTTATATTCATGTAATTAAGGATAAAAGTCTTCTTACTACATGCATGTAATAACGTTAGTAAAATACTTTATCCCTACTAAACAGTTGAGTAATTTAAGAATTCATGTTTAGTCAAACTATCACAAGACTCTACATTCAAATTCTAATAGTTATGTTAGCAAGTTTCACCCCATGTACATAACACGGAAGGACTGAGACTCTCAAACCTAACTATCTTTAAGGTTATGAATTTCTAAGCTTTTACATAAAGAAATTTTTTCCTAAGAACGTATTTCATATCATAGTTATCTCATGCAAATGATGCATGTCATATAAACTCTATATATGGTCACAAAATTCACATTCACATAATTTCACATTTCACAAGTCACATCGCTACTAAATTATACTTATTTACACAATAACTTACACTTATCACATATATTATAATTTCATAGCTTTACGTTAGATTCTCAATTTTCAACACTATGCAAATAATTTCTATCTCAATCTTTAGTTCATATAACCTATCAATCAATGCCAATTTCATTAATTACACAATTATACACATCTTAGTTGCAGACATAGGGCGATGCCCAATGCGAGCAAGGCTTCAAGCCTTTAAAAGGATTACGTTCAACATGACTCTTCTTGCGCTCGACAAATTTCATACATGGAGTCCTTAGAGCTATTGCACCTGAAGTGACCAAACTCTAGCCCGACATTAGTGATGTCACGAGCATTTTGTGGCTCTCATACCTGATGTGCACCTCCTCACACCCCGCATGATCGTCACAAAGATCCCTTTGTTGCTTTTGCACCCAATGTCCCCAACACGATATCAGTAAATTATTTTTCTGAATAATTTTGAATCACTCACATGTCTCTCCACTTACACAAATTCATGTTAAAAAAAATATCTATATTCTAATTAATTCGTTCTTATTAATATATAGGATCACTGTATGAAATTGTTTCTCCAAAATTTATTTGTATTCATCTTAGAGTTTCCCCAAAAACCACATGCTCTTATAGATTCACAACAAAGACAACTCATAGATCAACTATACAATTACATACATATAAAAATCAAAAGACAACATATAAATATTGTAATTACAAACAAGATTTAGGTTTAATCCCTTACATATACATACACAACCAATGAGATAGGGGTCAATTTTATCGTCCAACATATTATCCACATGTTAATAAAATGAGACAACCCTAATCTACTAATGTGTTTATATAAAAACGTTAACCCTATTTCGTACGTCATCCATTAACAAAAGGCTACTAAATTATTTCTCACTATTTTAAAATAGGTAAGTAAATAATAATTACTACCATGATCCCTATTCATTAATTAAAATATTTCATTAATTTATTTATGAAAAGTGGGATATTATAAATGTCATATCACTTACATATAAATAAACATTAAAATATAATAGTTAATAATTATTAATTTGATGGAAGAATAAAAAATTATGTATTTTTAAAATTAATGAAATTAAATATTTTTATTTTAAAATATAAGAACTAAAATTATAGACTGACAAAAATAAAAGAACTAAAAATACAATTTAACCTTTTTTAACTAAGAATAATGATTTATATAATGTGATTTTACTTCCTTTACATAAGATAAGATAAAATTATATATATATATATATATATATATATATATTTTAAATATACATAT